ATCAGACACATTTGCATATTTTATTCTCTCTACATTTTTCATTTTCCCATAAAACACAACACAATCGCTCGCCTTCTCCGTCTGCTTCGAGATTAGTTGACTCTTTTTTTTTTTTTTCCTAACAGAGTTTTAGATTGATTCTGTGGCTATATCGAACATGTTCTACATCTCCTGACCTTTGCTAATAATTTGACTCAACAAGTCCCAGTTCTGTGCTTTGAAAGGGCACACAGCCAGACTGGAACTACTGGTATTTATGTGACTTTGGAACGCGGGATATTTTCTTCCGCCGTACCATTGATCAGATCTGACAAATATATGCATCCTGCCAGCTGGTTGTCGCGCTAGTCTGCGATTAATCTCTCTGCTGACCTTTTCGCAGTTTTCAGAGATTATTGTACCAATGTATGGCCTAACATTTCAAAATAGCGGCAAAACTGTAAAGAGAGGTTGTTGTTTTTTTTCTATTTAGAGGTCACAGATTTTATTTTCATGTGTCTCAGTTAACTCCACAAACCAGAAAAAAACAAAAAAACGGTGCCTTAGGGAAGAATACTGCAAAATAATAAATTGTTGCAACATTTCCAGCTTGTTAAATCATGACTTCTACAGTTAGAATAAAAGCACTCGCAAAGTAACACAGATTCCTGAGGGGTGTGTGTGTGTGGGGGGGTTCTTTAATAAGTATAGTACATTTACAGTTAGTGTCATATCAGAATATCTTAGTCACACATTTGAATTGTTGAATAAAAAAAAGTTTAGTTTTTTTCCCAGTGTGGTCTCTCTGGACCCTGGGTTATCAGCTCAGTGTAGCGGCACCAGAATCAAATCAAAAACCCGTCTGCCGTCGTCGTCATCATCGTCTATGTACTGACAGGAAACGCAGACCGGATGGTTGCAGATGGTCACGTGAAGTCTTCATTTATCATATAGTCATAAATCTGAAAATGCAGGCAGTTGCTGTGGGCGCTGGGAGCCCGTGTCTGGTGCCAACTGCCAGGCAGACACGCCGGCATCCTGGTGCCATCAGTGAGATAGTCCACGTCTCACTGCCCCCCCTCGTCCCCCCCGTCCCCCCACTACTCGTTCAGTCTTTCTTTTAGGCCCAGGGAGATTTGTGACTTGTGTTTGTGGGGCGGTCGTAAAAGTTTACTTATGATAGCATTTATACAATTACTTCTATTGTCTTGAGAACAGTGGCAGTGGCTGGTTTTTTTTTTTCCAATCCCGACACCAAACTGTTTTTTTAAAGAAAAACCACTTCTTTCTTTTCTT